GTGCTCGGTGCACAATCGGAAGGTCGCGGAATCTAATCCCGTGCACGGTCATTCGTTCGGGAGGACGATTAAACAAGGAATAAGTGCAATGAGCGACCGACGCATATCTACGACGGCCAACAATCCACGCAAGCACGCTGAACCTTTTTCGCACCGTACGTGGCCATCCACGCTAATCGGAGGAGCTAAATTAACCGCCCACGTGCGACGGTAATGTTCTCTAGACGTTCACGTACGCCCGGCTCAGGTGCGACGTTGTCCAGCAAGACCCTCTCTTAACGAGCACCCCTGTTAACGACTAATCGCCGAACGACGGGACTCCGTAGAACCCCGTGTGTTCGCTTACCGACCATTCCCCCGTTAACGACCGGCTGTAGTAAGTAAAGTAAATATTAATTGATGCACCGCTTAACCACGTTTCTTCTCAATATTATGTGTTTATAATGTTGTTCGTATCTTTACGTATTCACATCCACTGTTTAAATATCATGAAGCACGTTTTTATCGGGTGAAAAAGGGGGGTAACACTACCTTTCGATGCCATGGGAACGAATGGAACCTTGAACGTGCATTTCCTAGACTCGCTTAACGACGTGGTTTTGTAGAATCGATTACCATCGTGAAGTAGGGTTCTGCTCTACTCCCGTCAACGGCGGTCACGATGGGGATAGACTGGCCCCCGCCTCGGTAACGTGGAACTTCCACTACGGGCTAAAGGCAGACATGCTGACTGCCCATAGACTCAACACTGCCCATAGACTCAACACTGCCCATAGACTCAACACTGCCCATAGACTCAACACTGCCCATAGACTCAACACTGCCCATAGACTCAACACCGCCCATAGACTCAACACCGCACCTCCGATTAGCACGGTTGGCTACGTACGATGCGAAAGAAGTTCAACATAAACATGCAGTGAGGGAAAAAAGTATTTGATCCCCTGCTGATTTTGTACGTTTGTCCACTGACAAAGAAATGATCGGTCTATAATTTTAATGGTAGGTTTTTATTTGAACAGTGAGAGACAGAATACAAACAACAAAATCCAGAAAAACGCATGTCAAAAATGTTATAAATTGATTTGCATTTTAATGAGGGAAATAAGTATTTGACCCCTCTGCAAAACATGACTTAGTACTTGGTGGCAAAACCCTTGTTGGCAATCACAGAGGTCAGACGTTTCTTGTAGTTGGCCACCAGGTTTGCACACATCTCAGGAGGGATTTTGTCCCACTCTTCTTTGCAGATCTTCTCCAAGTCACCAAGAAAATAATTGGTAACACACTACACCGTGAAGGACTGAAATCCTGCAGCGCCCGCAAGGTCCCCCTGCTCCAGAAAGCACATATACATGCCCGTTTGAAGTTTGCCAATGAACATCTGAATGTTTCAGAGGACAACTGGGTGATAGTGTTGTGGTCAGATGAAACCAAAATGGAGATCTTTGGCACCAACTCAACTCGCCATGTTTGGAGGAGGAGGAATACTGCCTATGACCCCAAGAACACCATCTCCACCATCAAACATGGAGGTGGAAACATTATCCTTTGGGGGTGTTTTTCTGCTAATGGGACAGGACAACGTCACCGCATCAAAGGGACGATGGACGGGGCCATATACCGTCAAATCTTGGGTGAGAACCTCCTTCCCTCAGCCAGGGCATTGAAAATGGGTCGTGGATGGGTATTCCAGCATGACAATGACCCAAAACACACGGCCAAGGGAACAAAGGAGTGGCTCAAGAAGAAGCACATTAAGCTCCTGGAGTGGCCTAGCCAGTCTCCAGACCTTAATCCCATAAAACATCTGTGGAGGGAGCTGAAGGTTCGAGTTGCTAAACGTCAGCCTCGAAACCTTAATGACTTGGAGAAGGGACAAAATCCCTCCTGAGATGTGTGCAAACCTGGTGGCCAACTACAAGAAACGTCTGACCTCTGTGATTGCCAACAAGGGTTTTGCCACCAAGTACTAAGTCATGTTTTGCAGAGGGGTCAAATACTTATTTCCCTCATTAAAATGCAAATCAATTTATAACATTTTTGACATGCGTTTTTCTGGATTTTGTTGTTGTTATTCTGTTCCACACTGTTCAAATAAACCTACCATTAAAATTATAGACTGATCATTTCTTTGTCAGTGGGCAAACGTACAAAATCAGCAGGGGATCCAATACTTTTTTCCCTCACTGTACGTACAACACGCGGCAGGTCACCGTCACCACTTTAACCCGGTCTATTGGGTTTGCTCAATCTCCCGGTTGAATAAAGAATTACCGACTAACTTGATCGCTCCATCTCATTGGTTGGACGTCCTCTCAGAATTTAAGTTTGGAGACGCGGACTGGCTTTGCTTCCCTCCCCCTCCGTCCCCCCCACCGCCCTGTAGCTTTTAGAGTTCATAGTGCACAAGCTACGAGCCCGGCTGAGTTTAACGCTCAAATTAATAATAATACGCGGCGATTAAAAATACATATTGCTTGGAATATCGGAGTAACGATCGGTAAAGCAAACATACAACTTACAGAGAAGCAGATAATATCGACACATTTTTTTTGTCGTTTTATAAATTTTGTACACGTGTGCAATAGTTTGTTTTTCAGTTGCCCGTACGTCCTTTGGCTTTGTCGGTCCCTTCCTCCCTCCTTCCTCCAGCCAGCGAAACTTTTTTTCTTTCAAATACTGCACAGCATCTGATGTGAGAGTATGATAGCGTATCGGCCGGGATGGAGGGGGGGGGTGGTGAGGGGAGAGGCTGCCACTCCTCTGTCGGGAGCTGGACCGGTACCGCCTGGATCTCTGTGGTATTCAGGAGGTCAGGTGGACCGACTCTGGCTCCTGCCACCATGAGGGGTGGACAGTTCTCTACTTGGGGCAGGAGACTGCCAAACAACAGGGAGTGGCTCTTCTTCTGAACAAAAGAATGAAGGGGGCGTGGGAGCGTGGCGGTGAGGTGTGGGAAGCTGTAAGCCCCAGGCTACTTAGGGCTCACCTTCCCATCAACCAGAGGCGAGGAGTGGTGGTTACTTATGCCCCCACCGAAGACGAACATTCGTGGAGGGATGCAGGCAAGGCCGATGAGTCAGATGCCTTCTATGACCTCCTGTCACAGGTGCTGGCTAAAGTGGCTCCTCGGGATAGAGTTATCTTGTTGGGTGACTTCAATGCCTGAGTTGGTCACGATGCTTCCATCTGGTACAGATACAATGGGGAGGCTGATCAATGCCCGGGTGCGGTCAAGGGATGGCTCCCTATTGCTCAACCATGTTACGTATGTCGACGATCTGGTAATTGCAGCTCACTCAGAGGAGGAGTTGCAGGCGCTGCTGCTGAACCTGGAGCTTGCCACTTAGAGGTGGGGCCTTACCAACAGCCCCACCAAAACTAAGCACCTGCCTGGGTATTTTGTACCATCGGACACTCCACCCCCACAACTCCCAATCGGTGATTTGGCAGTTGTGGAGAAAGTAGAGAGTTTCCCATACCTGGGCAGTGTGCTCATGACCGGCTCCGGTTTGACAACAGAGGTCTCGCTCCGAATCAGTCGGGCGGCAATATCTTTTCATCGGTTGCGTAACGCTGTGTGGAAGCTACCTGGTCTGTCGCTCCGCACGAAGCTTCTGGTCTTCTCGGCCACAGTCATTCCCTCCCTTCTCTATGCTTGTAAAACGTGGACCCCCCTAATGGAACATCTTCGCTGGTTAGAAATATTTAGGCTGGCCTGCCTACGATCCATCCTGGGTTTAACCAAGCTGGATTGTGTGAGCTCACAAATCCTTGAAAGATCTGGACAAAGTCCCATCGGTGAGCTCCTCCGGCAGGCAAGGCTGCGTTGGCTGGGTCATGTAGCCCGCATGCCCAGCCACCGCATGCTGAAACAGCTTTTGTTTGGCCGGATCGAGGGGGCTAAACGGGCGCGGCACGGGCTAGAGAAGAGACGGAGTGATGTGGTACAGGAGGACGTGGAGCTGAGTGGACTTGCCGATGACTGGTACCAGCGGTGTCAATATCGGCCTCTGTGGAGGAGGCTCGTGAAGGATGCTGCTGGGCAGTTGGAGGCAGTCGCCCTCCAACAACAACGGAGGGCGGGGGAGCGACGCTCACAACAATGAGCGGAGCGCGTTGATGTTGTTGTTGGGGGGGGGGGGGGATGGCGTGATGTCAGCGGTGACGCTGCTCAACGCCGGGGGGATGTGGATGACATCACCATCGCGAACGTCCGCGCGATGACGTCACCATCGCGCGGACGTTCGCGCGATGGTGACATCATCGTGCGGACGTCTGAGCGAAGGCAACGTCACCCTGTGCCCCACACCATCGCGATTAGGAACAGAGAGACAGGAGCAGACAAAGCAAGACATCTAGATGAGAAGGCAAGAGGAAGGTGGAGAGAGACAAGGCTCCGTAAAGGATCAAAAGTTTTGCTGGCTGGCTGGGAGCGACGGACGGTCACGTCCAAATAGGATTCGTACAATAAAAAAAGCGACCGCGTTTCACACTCCGTACGGTCCCCGCTCCATAGGTTCCGATCTCCGTACGTACCCACACTCCGTACGTTATCGCGGTTGTTCCGCGGGGGGGCGCTCAGAGCGAGTTTTCTGCTCGCTGCCGCGTGTCAGTTTGGCATGGAGTTTGACGTTTCGCCCCACGCATGGATAAATAAAAAAGAAAGCATTAAAAAAAGTAAGTGGCGTTGCTTTGCTGTAGAACTCCCAACAGAATGCGCGGAGGGAAACGAATAACACAGCGGCACAACCTCCCAGCAATACGTCGGAGAGCCGGGCTGCACAGCCGCGAAAACCCACGCCGGCAGGAGCATCCCCACCCCGCTCCCCCCCCCCCCCCCCCCCCCCGTTCCCGATGTAAGCTGCCAGGACGCGGAGCGAAACGTCGGACGTCGCGCCGAACGACACCAACGCGGCACGACGCCGACGCCCCGAGAGCCGGCGAGTCGCCCAGAGCTCCGCAAATTCGGCTTGCGGTGGGGCGGGCGGGGGGGCGGGGGGAGAGAAAGCAGCTCCCGGCACGCGGAAGCGAAGCCACCGAACAACGCCGCGACGTGGCCGGCGACGAACCGGGGACGCACCGGCGTCGGGAGCGCAGCGCCGCACTTTCAAAGCCCGTCACGAGTTCGCGCTCCGATCCACATCGTTCTCCAGCGCAACCTCCACCCGCGCCTCCTCCACCTCCTCCCCACCGCCGCCATCGGCCCTCCCGGCCGAGCCGCCGCCGTCGTCGTCGCCGCGCAGGGCCCTGCCGCCCTCGCCGCGCCCGTGGTTCTTCCGCACGTGCTGGTTGAGCGTCGCTTGGAAGGGGAAACACTTGCCGCAGAGCGTGCACGGGAAGGGCTTGTTGCCCGTGTGCGTGCGGATGTGGTACTCCAGCTGGTCCTTGCGCGTGTAGCGCTTGCCGCAGTGCCGGCAGGCGAACGGCGTGATGCCCATGTGCAGCCGCATGTGGCGGTCCAGGCTGCCCTTCTGGTTGAACGACTTGCCGCAGTAGAGGCACGTCAGCCGCGGGTTGTAGCGCATCCACCGCTCCTGGCCGGACGGCGGCGGCGTTGCCGCCGCCGCCGCCGCCGCCGCCGCCGATGACGACGTCGCGCCGCCGCCGGCGACCGACGCGGCGCCGCAGTCGTCGCCGATGCCTCCGCCGCCGGCCGCGCTCTGCAAGTAGTCGGCAGTAGGCGGCGGCCGACGGGAGAGCTCCGTCCGAATGCGGCGAGAGATCGGCCGACGCCGGGTGCTGCTGCGGGGAGGTGCTGCGTGCGCGGATGACGCCGGCGGCGGCGGCGGCGGCGGCGGCGGCGGCCAGCGAAGCCGGGGCCAGCGAGAACGCCCGCGGCACCAAGAGCCCCCGGCGGGCGAGGTCGGCGTGCTGAATAACCCGCGGCTGGCGCCGCCTGCGCGCCGCCGGCTTCTCGTCGCGGTCGCCGGCGTCGTCGTCCTCGCCTCCTCCTTCGCCGCCGCCGCCGCCGTCACCAACCCACGCCGCCATCACCACCTCGTCCTCCTCCTCCTCCTCCTCCTCGTTGTGCTCCTCCTCCTCCGCCGCACTGTTGTTGTAGTTCCCCTCCTCGTCGTCGTCGTCGTCGTTGTCGACGTCGTCGTCGTCGAGGTCGTTGCGGCGCATCTGCTCGTCCGGCGGCTCCGTCTTGATTTGGAGACGGACGCTCGTGGCCGACTTCCTGGGGCGGCGGCTTGGCAACAGCACCAGCTGCTGCTGCTGCTGCTGCTGGTGATGCTGCTGCTGCTGCTGCTGCTGGTGATGATGGTACCGATGGCGTTGCTGCTGCTGCTGCTGATGCTGATGGCGCGAAACCGCCGGAGGGAAAGTGACGTCCTCCGGCGACGACCCCTGCACGAACCCGTCGGTCCAGCCCAGCTCGGTCCAACTGGAAGCCTCGCTCCCGCCGCAGCTTGCGCCGCCACCGCCGGCCGCCGGCTCGTCCTCGCGATTGCCGTACGAGCCGGGGACGTGGGCCGGCGGCGTGGAGGGGAGGAGAGGCCGATCGCACGATGACGACCGCGGAGGAGGGGGAGGCGGGGGGGGAGGAGGAGCAGGAGCAGGAGCAGGAGGCGAAGGCTCGCGGAGGCCCGGAGAGTCGTGGGAGGAGTCGGTGAGGTGGGACGTGGGACTGAGCATCCCGGCCAGCAGCTGCACGCAGCTGGGGTGACGGAACACACGAACGCAAACAAAGGTAAAACAAAGATTCCCCCAATATAGCCTTAACAGAACCTGTATACCAGGCGAGGCAGTTAACATCTCCTAGCCACCGTGGCGCCCCAATAATGTAGAGGATCGCTGTAGAATTCAAGGCAATGATAATTCAGTGCTGAACTGTAACACCGCCGCACCACCAGGCATTCATTTTAGGCTAAATCGACCCAGGGGAAGGTCTGGCATCTGGTATTGGTCGGCAGCGCGGATTGAACTCCCCACAAATAATAAAGACAAAGATCCCCCGTATAGCCTTAACACAAAGTTGGGGCAAGTGCTGTTAGCGAGTAGCAGCGCCTATGAAGGCCGGCACGACACACAAAGAGGTGGGTGGCCAGCAACCACGCCCGGCTCCGTGTCTCCCTAGTAGCGATGTTTACACACCGCACCAGGTACTCATTTGAGGCCGAGTCGACCTAGGGGAGGCCCAGGACCGGTTCAGATAATTGTCACCGGTGTTGGCCGTGAGCAGGAATTGAACTCGGGTCCGCCGGGTTTGTAGCACAGACCACGCCACTACCGCTCCCCCATACGTACACACAGGCACATAACCAGACAGTACACTTGCACAACCGCCAGTCGCCACTAAGTGGCGGTGGCGTCACCAGGGCGCCTGTGCCAGGCTACGTGCACTTTAAGGCCACTTGAAGTGTTGAAGGCTCTAGCTGCTGGCAGAAGATAAATGGACAGACCCAGCAGGTGCCATGGGTTGACCGACTGAGATCACTGGCAGATGCACCACCTGCGGCCACTCGCTGTGTTTTGGCGACCTTGCCATAAACGATAGCTCAGCAAAGAGGCTTATCACGCGAAAATGTATCGCAACCAAATACTCTGAACGCGTGATGTTGATTTTAACACGTGGAGGGAAAAAATGGAGGACTTTGTGGAAAAATCCACGCGACCACGGGGAGAGAGAGAGAGAGAGCAAGCACGCAAATTCCAAATATACAGCAGGCGTCAGGGTTGGGATCGAACCCACGACCTTCTGTATACCAGACGAGGCAGTTCACATCTCCTAGCCACCATGATGATCAGAGAAACTCCAAATATACAGCAGGCGTCAGGGTCAGGATTGAACCGACAACCTCCTGTACACCAGGCGAGGGCGTTAACATCTCCTCGCGACTGCGGCGCCCCCGCTCTCTCTCTCCCTCATTCCTCCCTCTCCTCTCTCCCACGCCCTCCCTCTCTTCCATCCCTCCCAATCGCCGTTTCTCTCCTTTACTCTCACTCCCATCTCCCATCTCACCCCCCCCCCCGCACCTTCCCTAATCACTCCCCCCCACCCCCGCCCCGCCGCCCCCCATCTCACCGGTCGATGACGGGCTGCAGCTGGAGGAAGCTGGCCGCGGTGAGGAAGGCGAGGATCTCCCTGCGCGTCAGCACCAGCCTGCCCGTGTAGCAGAACGCCAGCAGTTGGGCGAACACCCGCGGGCTGCGAACGACGCCGACGTGCAGCGCGCTCAGCCCCTGCAGCCCGGCGTGGTCGCGGAAATAGGGGCAGCTCGCGGCCAGCACGGCCTGGGGGGGGGGCAGGGCGGGTTTGGGGCGGCGGTGGAGAGTTGCGGGGGGGGTGGTGGAGGGGGATAGGGCGTTAGGGGATTGATGGGGATCGAGTCAGGGGTAAGGTTAGGAGGTAGGGGATAAGAGTTAGGGGTGTGTGAGAGCCAGGGATATGGTTAAGGTTGGGGTTAACCACACTCGGATGCATACCTGTACACCCGTACGGTGCATCCCGTATTCTTGTACAGGGAACTTGAGTGTTCAGGTCCATACGGCGTACAGCCCAAACTGGGTGGTGGTGGTCGCAACCCGCGACCACCATACAGTTTGGGGTTAGAGTGAGGTTTAGGCGTAGAGTGAGGTTTAGGGGTAGAGTGAGGTTTAGGGTTAGAGTAAAGTTTAGGGGTAGAGTGAGGTTTAGGGTTAGAGTGAGGTTTAGGGTAGAGTGAGGTTTAGGGGTAGAGTGAGGTTTAGGGTTAGAGTGAGGTTTATGGTTAGTGTGAGGTTTAGGGTTAGAGTAAAGTTTAGGGGTAGAGTGAGGTTTAGGGGTAGAGTGAGGTTTAGGGTTAGAGTGAGGTTTAGGGGTAGAGCGAGGTTTAGGGGTAGAGTGAGGTTTAGGGTTAGAGTAAAGTTTAGGGGTAGAGTGAGGTTTAGGGGTAGAGTGAGGTTTAGGGTTAGAGTGAGGTTTAGGGGTAGAGCGAGGTTTAGGGGTAGAGTGAGGTTTAGGGTTAGAGTGAGGTTTAGGGTAGAGTGAGGTTTAGGGTTAGAGTAATGTTTATGGTTAAAGTGAGGTTTAGGGGTAGAGTGAGGTTTAGGGTAGAGTGAGGTTTAGGGGTAGAGTGAGGTTTAGGGTTAGAGTGAGGTTTATGGTTAGTGTGAGGTTTAGGGTTAGAGTAAAGTTTAGGGGTAGAGTGAGGTTTAGGGTTAGAGTGAGGTTTAGGGTTAGAGTGAGGTTTAGGGGTAGAGTGAGGTTTAGGGGTAGAGTGAGGTTTAGGGGTAGAGTGAGGTTTAGGGGTAGAGTGAGGTTTAGGGTTAGAGTAATGTTTAGGGGTAGAGTGAGGTTTAGGGGTAGAGTGAGGTTTAGGGGTAGAGTGAGGTTTAGGGGTAGAGTGAGGTTTAGGGTTAGAGTGAGGTTTAGGGGTAGAGTGAGGTTTAGGGTTACAGTGAGGTTTAGGGGTAGAGTGATGTTTAGGGGTAGAGTTAGGTTTAGGGGTAGAGTGAGGTTTAGGGGTAGAGTGATGGTCATGGTTAAAGTGAGGTTTAGGGTTAGAGTGAGGTTTAGAGATAGAGTGAGGTTTAGGGGTAGAGTGAGGTTTAGGGGTAGAGTAATGTTTAGGGGTAGAGTGAGGTTTAGGAGTAGAGTAATGTTTAGGGTTAGAGTGAGGTTTAGGGTTAGAGTGAGGTGTAGGGGTAGAGTGAGATTTAGGGGTAGAGTGAGGTTTAGGGGTAGAGTGAGGTTAAGGGGTAGAGTGAGGTTTAGGGGTAGAGTGAGGTTTAGGGGTAGAGTGAGGTTTAGGGGTAGAGTGAGGTTTAGGGTTAGAGTGAGGTTTATGGGTAGAGTGAGGTTTAGGGGTAGAGTGAGGTTTAGGGGTAGAGTGAGGTTTAGGGGTAGAGTGAGGTTTAGGGGTAGAGTGAGGTTTAGGGGTAGAGTGAGGTTTAGGGTTAGAGTGAGGTTTAGGGTTAGAGTGAGGTTTAGGGTTAGAGTGAGGTTTAGGGGTAGAGTGAGGTTTAGGGGTAGAGTGAGGTTTAGGGGTTAGAGTGAGGTTTAGGGGTAGAGTGAGGTTTAGGGGTAGAGTGAGGTTAAGGGGTAGAGTGAGGTTTAGGGTAGAAGTGAGGGTTTAGGGGTAGAGTGAGGTTTAGGGGTAGAAGTGAGGTTTAGGGGTAGAGTGAGGTTTAGGGTAGAGTGAGGTTTTAGGAGGTAGAGTGAGTTTAGGGGTAGAGTGAGGTTTAGGGTAGAGTGAGGTTTTAGGGGTAGAGTGAGGTTTAGGTTAGAGTGAGGTTTAGGGGTTAGAGTGAGGTTTAGGGGTAAGTGAGGTTTAGGGGTAGAGTGAGGTTTAGGGTTAGAGTGAGGTTATGGGTAGATGACGGTTAGGGGTAGTAAGGTTTAGGCGTTAGAGTGGGTTTAGGGGTAGATGAGGTTTAGGGGTAGAGTGAGGTTTAGGGGTAGAGTGAGGTTTAGGGGTAGAGTGAGGTTTAGGGTGAGTAGTGAGGTTAGGGGTAGAGTGAGGTTTAGGGGTAGAGTGAGGTTTAGGGGTAGAGTGAGGTTTAGGGGTAGAGTGAGGTTAGGGGTAGAGTGAGGTTTAGGGGTAGAGTGAGGTTTAGGGGTAGAGTGAGGTTTAGGGTTAGAGTGAGGTTTAGGGTTAGAGTGAGGTTTAGGGGTAGAGTGAGGTTTAGGGTTAGAGTGAGGTTTAGGGTTACAGTGAGGTTTAGGGGTAAAGTGAGGTTTAGGGTAGAGTGAGGTTTAGGGTTACAGTGAGGTTTAGGGGTACAGTGAGGTTTAGGGGTAGAGTGAGGTTTAGGGGTAGAGTGAGGTTTAGGGTTAGAGTGATGTTTAGGTTTACAGTGAGGTTTAGGGGTAGAGTGAGGTTTAGGGGTAGAGTGAGGTTTAGGGGTACAGTGAGGTTTAGGGGTAGAGTGAGGTTTAGGGTTAGAGTGAGGTTTAGGGTTAGAGTGAGGCTTAGGGGTAGAGTAAGGTTTAGGTGTAGAGTGAGGTTTAGGGTTACAGTGAGGTTTAGAGTGAGGTTTAGGGGTAGAGTGAGGTTTAGGGGTAGAGTGAGGTTTAGGGTTACAGTGAGGTTTAGGGTTACAGTGAGGTTTAGGGTTACAGTGAGGTTTAGGGTTACAGTGGGGTTTAGGGTTAGAGTGAGGTTTAGGGTTAGAGTGAGGTTTAGGGGTAGAGTAAGGTTTAGGGTTAGAGTGAGGTTTAGGGTAGAGTGAGGTTTAGGGTAGAGTGAGGTTTAGGGTTAGAGTAAAGTTTAGGGTTAGAGTGAAGTTTAGGGTTACAGTGAGGTTTAGGGGTAGAGTGAGGTTTAGGGTTAGAGTGAGGTTTAGGGGTAGAGTGAGGTTTAGGGGTAGAGTGAGGTTTAGGGTAGAGTGAGGTTTAGGGTTACAGTGAGGTTTAGGGGTAGAGTGAGGTTTAGGGGTAGAGTGAGGTTTAGGGGTAGAGTGAGGTTTAGGGTTACAGTGAGGTTTAGGGGTAGAGTGAGGTTTAGGGTTAGAGTGAGGTTTAGGGTTACAGTGAGGTTTAGGGGTAGAGTGAGGTTTATGGGTAGAGAGAGGTTTAAGGGTAGAGTGAGGTTTAAGGGTAGAGTGAGGTTTAGGGTTAGAGTGAGGTTTAGGGGTAGAGTGAGGTTTAGGGGTAGAGTGAGGTTTAGGATAGAGTGAGGTTTAGGGTTACAGTGAGGTTTATGGGTAGAGTGAGGTTTAGGGGTAGAGTGAGGTTTAGGGGTAGAGTGAGGTTTAGGGGTAGAGTGAGGTTTAGGGTTAGAGTGAGGTTTAGGGGTAGAGTGAGGTTTAGGGGTAGAGTGTGGTTTAGGGGTAGAGTGAGGTTTAGGGGTAGAGTGAGGTTTAGGGGTAGAGTGAGGTTTAGGGGTAGAGTGAGATTTAGGGTTAGAGTGATGTTTAGGGTTACAGTGAGGTTTAGGGGTAGAGTGAGGTTTAGGGTTAGAGTGAGGTTTAGGGTTAGAGTGAGGTTTAGAGTTAGAGTGAGGTTTAGGGTTAGAGTGATGTTTAGGGGTAGAGTGAGGTTTAGGGGTAGAGTGAGGTTTAGGGGTAGAGTGAGGTTTAGGGGTAGAGTGAGGTTTAGGGGTAGAGTGGAGGTTTAGGGGTAGAGTGAAGTTTAGGGGTTAGAGTGAGGTTTAGGGGTAGAGTGAGGTTTAGGGGTAGAGTGAGGTTTAGGGTTAGAGTGAGGTTTAGGGTTACAGTGAGGTTTAGGGGTAGAGTGAGGTTTAGGGGTAGAGTGAGGTTTAGGGGTAGAGTGAGGTTTAGGGTTAGAGTGAGGTTTAGGGTTACAGTGAGGTTTAGGGGTAGAGTGAGGTTTAGGGGTAGAGTGAGGTTTAGGGGTAGAGTGAGGTTTAGGGGTAGAGTGTGGTTTAGGGTTAGAGTGAGGTTTAGGGTTAGAGTGATGTTTAGGGTTAGAGTGATGTTTAGGGGTAGAGTGAGGTTTAGGAGTAGAGTGAAGTTTAGGGGTTACAGTGAGGTTTAGGGGTAGAGTGAGGTTTAGGGGTAGAGTGAGGTTTAGGGTTAGAGTGAGGTTTAGGGGTAGAGTGAGGTTTAGGGGTTACAGTGAGGTTTAGGGGTAGAGTGAGGTTTAGGGGTAGAGTGAGGTTTAGGGGTAGAGTGAGGTTTAGGGGTTAAAGTGCGGTTTAGGGGTAGAGTGAGGTTTAGGGGTAGAGTGAGGTTTAGGAGTAGAGTGAGGTTTAGGGTTACAGTGAGGTTTAGGGGTAGAGTGAGGTTAAGGGGTAGAGTGAGGTTTAGGAGTAGAGTGAGGTTTAGGGTTACAGTGAGGTTTAGGGGTAGAGTGAGGTTAAGGGGTAGAGTGAGGTTTAGGGTTAGAGTGAGGTTTAGGGTTAGAGTGAGGTTTAGGATAGAGTGAGGTTTAGGGGTAGAGTGAGGTTTAGGGTTAGAGTGAGGTTTAGGGGTAGAGTGAGGTTTAGGGTTAGAGTGAGGTTTAGGGTTCGAGTGAGGTTTAGGGTTAGAGTGAGGTTTAGGCTCAGGGACAGGTTTTGCTAGTTGTGGAGGCGGTGATGGGTCTCAGAAGCACAACGTGGCAAGACAGGCAGGAGGGGTTACGGTTAAGAGTCCGGCTCGAGGATTAATAGCCGGCTCACCTTGTGGGCGCCGAACGCGTGGCCGGCCACGTGCAGCGTGATGTCACAAAGCTGCCCGTCGAGGCGCAGGCGGTTGAGCTCCGCCAGGATGGTGGGGCCGTGGCACGCGGCCATGAAGGGGATGGCCTCGCTCACGTCCGTCGTCATCTGCACCGCACGGCCACAACCACCAATGCAGTACCGTTTGTGAATGTCCTGTAATGTACGTACGTTGAACTTCTTTCGCAGTCGTACGCAGCCAACCGTGCTTACCGGAGGTGCGGCGTTAAGTCTATGGGCGGTGTGGAGTCTATGGGCGGTGTGGAGTCAATGGGCGGTGTTGAGTCTATGGGCAGTGTTTGTCTATGGGCAGTGTTGAGTCTATGGGCAGTGTTGAGTCTATGGGCAGTGTTGAGTCAATGGGCAGTGTTGAGTCTATGGGCAGTGTTGAGTCTATGGGCAGTGTTGAGTCTATGGGCAGTGTTGAGCCTATGGGCAGTGTTGAGTCTATGGGCAATGTTGAGTGAATGGGCAGTGTTGAGTCTATGGGCAGTGTTGGGTCTATGGGCAGTGTTAGTCTATGGGCAGTGTTGAGTCTATGGGCAGTGTTGAGTCTATGGTCAGTGTGTATCTATGGGCAGTGTTGAGTCTATGGGCAGTGTTGAGTCTATGGGCAGTGTTGAGTCTATGGGTAGTGTTGAGTCTATGGGCAGTGTTGAGTGAATGGGCAGTGTTGAGTCTATTGGGCAGTGTTGAGTCTATGGGCAGTGTTGAGTCTATGGGCAGTGTTGAGTCTATTGGGCAGTGTTGAGTCTATTGGGCAGTGTTGAGTCTATGGGCAGTGTTGAGTCAATGGGCAGTGTTGAGTCTATGGGCAGTGTTGAGTCTATTGGGCAGTGTTGAGTCTATGGGCAGTGTTGAGTCTATGGGCAGTGTTGAGTCTATGGGCAGTGTTGAGTCTATGGGCAGTGTTGAGTCTATGGGCAGTGTTGAGTCTATTGGGCAGTGTTGAGTCAATGGGCAGTGTTGAGTCTATGGGCAGTGTTGAGTCTATGGGCAGTGTTGAGTCTATGGGCAGTGTTGAGTCTATGGGCAGTGTTAGACTATGGGCAGTGTTGATTCGCGACCAATCCCACGACCTCCTGTACACCAGGCGAGGTAGTTAACATCTGCTAGCCACACCATGATGATGAGAGAGAGAGAGACACCGCAAACTCCAAATATACATCAGGTGTCAAGGGTCTGGTTTGAACCGACGACCTCCCGTGCACCAGGAGAGGCAGTCAACATCTCCGAGATGAGAGAACGCGCGGCGGCTTAAGCGACATCGCGCCGACTGCTGAGAAAGTGAGAAGGGCGCTTGGGAAAGGGGGACCGCCGATGATGGGGTTTGAGACACGGCAACAGGAGGCGAGATTCAGGAGGAGAGTTATCCAAGGCGCGTCAAATTGCTAGCGAACGGTGCCAACAACCACCACCATCACCGCCGCCGCTGCAGGAGGAGCGATGGGACTCGTTGGAGCGATGGACTCTCGTTCCATGTCGGCGCCGTGAAAGGTGGCAGGCGGCTTGGGTGAGAAAGGGCTCCACCACCCCTCCACCTTTAACATCCAGCGGTGGATTGAAGACGGCCGCAGCTCGTGTTGTTGACACGGTGCAAGAGGGCCCAGTGAGTTCGGAGCGCGCAGCCTTTCGCCAAGTGGCGAAGCTCACCTTTAAGTTCCTGGCTCCTCGTCCTCCTTCCTGTTACCGACGCGGTTGTTTTAACACGGCAAAGTGTCGTGTATTTAAAGCATGTTTTAAAGTTTAATTACGATTTAATAAAAAACATAATTTCTCCAGCGATTCCTGTAGCGACCATCCGCGCGGAGGGAGAAACCATTGTCAACCACGGGGGTGTTTCGGATGCCATTATTTCACAATTTTTACAAATAAAACGTAACCATATTGCGTTTAGTTATATTGTGGTTTGTTCATTATTGTGGGATAAAATTTGTCGTGATTTTTTTTGCTGCGCTTTGTTTTTTTGTTATGTTTTGAAGTACAAGTCAATTCGAAACAAATTTACGTCGTTCCCCCCAGTGCGTGAGTGGTACATTCTAAACAGCCCAAAAACTACGGTGAGCAATGTGGATCAAAGCAGATGGCGGTAACGCGATTTGTTATTACTGATGTTCATTTGGCACCATTGCCAAATTAATCAGAATATTTATTTATACTGCAGGAATCCGATGAGCTAAAAAGCTCTTTTCCGCAGATGTCCAGAATGGGCGGTTAAGAACGTTACAACAACGAACAGTGCAAAAGCATGATAATAGTACAAATAACAAGTCAATTTAGCATATTTTGGTGATAGAAAATGTAGCGTTTCTTACTTAGCGAGTCTATCTAACTATTATTGTTCTATAGTTAATCCAATCAGAGAGGTTATTTTATGGGTTTTTTCTTTATCCCAGGCTATATCTCTCGTTTTCATGAACGTCACTCGCAGTGGCAGAGCACGTGGCAAATTGCTGCCCTCCAATTCTAGATTTGAAGCTTTCGTGACTGCAAGGATTCATACTCTTTGTTTTTTTTCGGTAAAGTCACGTAGGTAAAAAAAACTAAATAAAATCATTGTGATTTCATTAAATCATTGTGATTTAATTTAGTACTGGTAGGAACCTCCTAGTTACACCAGCCCACAGGGAATTATTGTGTCCGTCCGTCCGTCGTGCATCCAAAAATTGGAGGGATGGGGCGGGGCTGGGTGGGGAGGAGCTGGGTGGGGAGGGTGGGGAGGTTGGGGAGGGGCTGGGTGGGGAGGGTGGGACTGGGTGGGGAGGGTGGGGCTGGGTGGGGAGGGTGGGGAGGGGCTGGGTGGGGAGGGTGGGGAGGGGCTGGGTGGGGAGGGTGGGGCTGGGTGGGGAGGGTGGGGCTGGGTGGGGAGGGTGGGGGCTAGGTGGGGAGGGTGGGGAGGGGCTGGGTGGGGAGGGCGGGGCTGGGTGGGGAGGGTGGGGAGGTTGGGGAGGAGCTGGGTGGGGAGGGTGGGACTGGGTGGGGAGGGTGGGGCTGGGTGGGGAGGGTGGGGAGGGGCTGGGTGGGGAGGGTGGGACTGGGTGGGGAGGGTGGGGCTGGGTGGGGAGGGTGGGGCTGAGTGGGGAGGGTGGGGAGGAGCTGGGTGGGCTAGGTGGGGAGGGTGGGAGGGACTGGATGGGGTGGGGCTGGGGTGGGGAGGGGCTGGGTGGGGGGTGGGATGGGCAGGGCCACCTTGTCCCTGCCCTCACAGTCGGGCAACTGAAGCAATTAGCGGGACCCCGGGGTCCCATCACTGCCCCGGGTGGGAAAACCCGCGTAGCGACACGAGTCTTGTCGCCTTACCGACAACAAAACTATTGGTCAATCGATTGGCCTCGTCGAGAGCTACTCGGGGACACTAAGTTTCGTAAAAAGTTGAAAAATTACATGAACACGTTAAATTCATTGCCTGGGGGGGCGGTAGGGTTCGCATTGGCAAAGAAGCTGAGGATCGACGGCTGACCGGAGGGCGGACGCCCCCCGGGGCTTGCGTTTGGCCGGTGGGGGTGGCGCCCATCGTGTTGATCGCCGCCGCCTGCTGCTGCTGCTGGCGCTTGTTGTTGGCGCGGTAGTCTTGGCCGGGCGGCGCGTTGCTGTCGGGATCACGTAGTGGGGGCGGTCTCAAGAAAAATAATAATTATTATTGACCTGATTGTTGCGGGACCCAGGGGTCCCGCCAAATGATTCATATTTGCGGAATGCACACCACGTGGTGCCGCCGTTGACCCTGGCCATTGACCGAGCAATCCAACGTTTCCTACCAGCTCCCTCCGCAGGAGAATGCGTTTTAGTTTTCATTTATTTTACTGATTTTTTTACTTACGTGACTTCACCGAATAACACCAAGGAGTATGCTGCCCTCTACTGTCGCTTGAAGGGATCTGAGTGGTAGTTCCTTGACAGCCACTTTGACACAAACCTTACTAATTGGCTCTGTCGGGTGGTGCTGGTGGTGGAGGGTTTAACGACACAGGAATGTATATTTACGCGATCGAACCACCCAAAGAACACAGCTCTAGCGTGGTTAACATTGGTCGCAAAAGCCCTACTACTTACTGCTACTTACTACTCTTGACTAAAACTTACTACTACTTACTAACACTTACTATTAAAACTTACTACCAAAGACTTACAACTTACTACTGACTTACTACTACTTACTACTACTACTGCCTATTACAACTTACTACTACTTACTACTACAACTTACTACTACTGACTATTACAACTTATTACTACTACTTACTACTACTGACTTACCACTAACTACTACTTACTACTACTTACTACTACTTATTGCTACTTACTACCATTTACTACTACAACTTACCACTACTGAGTATTACTACTTACTACTACTTACTACTACAACTTACTACTACAACTTACTACTACAACTTACTACAACTTAGTACAACTTTCTACAACTTACTACTACTTACTGCTACTTACTACTACTTACTACCACTTACTATTACAACTTACTACTCCTCACTACAACTTACTACTACCGACTTACTACTACAACTTATTGCTACTTACTAATACTTACTGCTACTTATTACAACTTACTACTACTGACTTACTACAACTTACTACTACTGACTATTACAACTTACTATTACTGACTACTACTGACTATTACAACTTACTACTGCTGATTTACTATTACAACTTACTACTACTTACTACAACTTACTACTACTTATTACAACTTACTACTACAACTTACTACTACTTACTACTACTGACTTACTACTGACTTACTACTGACTTACTACTACAACTTACTACTTACTACAACTTACTACTTACTACTACAACTTACTACTACTGACCTACTACTACTTACTATTACTTATTACAACTTACTACTGCTTACTACTAACTTACTGCGTATTATAACTTACTACTACTTACTAATAACTTGCTACTACTTACTACTGCTTACTACTACTGACTTACTACTACAACTTACTACTACTGACTATTACAACTTACTACTACTGACTGCCTACTACAACTTACTACTACTTACTACTACTGACTACTACTTATTACAACTTACTACTACTTACTACTACTTACTATTACTTGCTACTACTGACTACTAACTTACTACTGCTTACTACTAACTTACTACTACTACTACGTGTTAAACTTGTACAACCATTGGTAGCGGGCACAGCTTCGGAGTTGCGTCTTATAATCCGGTTGAGGAATCGATTACTTCGCATCGATTACTATGTCTAGGGTCGTGGTCTTTTTGATTCCACTAAGGAGGGGAGGACCGGTGGGGAATCGATGCCGTCTTATTCTTCGATGCGTCTTATAATCCGGTTGAGGAATCGATTACTACGCCTCGATTTATAGACTTTTCGATTCCACAAGAGGGTTGTGTGGGGAGAATCTTCCAGAAGGGGAAGTTGCGTTTCATTTATCAATTTAGGGCGGCTGTTCTACCTCTTCCAGATGACGCGCTGAAGTTTCGTTGTTTTATTCTCATGTCGGAAGAATCTTCCGGAAGCGGTAGAATTCGCCTGCCACGGACACGCACCCACGCGCGTGATCGCTTTGGCGCCCGTGGCTTCACTCGATTGGTTAGCGCGGCTACCACGTGATCACATCCCCCACGCTTTGGCGACGCGTTAAAAACAAAAAAATTACGTCGCGTTTTAAAAAAATATATCTGGCGAGGATAATTTTACTTACGCTCCCTTTTCACGCCTCTGCGCTCACATTTCCATGAGAAAAAAATATATATTACAAAAAAAATGTGTTTTAACGTTTTAGACAATGTGTTAATAATATGCTAATGAGGGCACGTGACTTCCTGGCAATATAAGGGGTAGGCGTTACGCGATCGCGTCAGTTGGAGAGCAGGCGCAGGTACGTGAGGAAGCAAGACGTCGTCTCCGCGTTTAAAGATTTTTGGTTTAAACAAAAAAATGTAACAAAGAACGCAAGTAATGTTTCGTAAAAACGTTTATTTTTTTTCCCCGCAAGTGTATTTATTTTGGGCTCCTTCTCTTCCAGGTTACGCTGTTCTGCCGCTCAGTGGACTCGAGGAACATTTAATGCCGAGAAGAAGACTTTATTGCATCGGCCATTGACCTTAAAGCGGGCCTCTCCAACAAACACCGATGAAGAAACCTAGATATTCGAACTATTTCGTTTAAAACAAATGTTTACACAGGCAGCTTCAAAAACAACCTTCCAACGAAAAGATTTTCTGTAACATTAACGAGCTCTTTAAAGCTTTTTGGGGTGTCCGGATCAAAAACTAATAGTAAGTGCGAAGAGCCGATTTTATTTTTGTTGAGATGAGCTCACAGCACACCGCGTTGGGGCAATAAAACGCGACGTGTGCCTGTGAGACGGGGTTAAAAAATTAGGCTGCGATTTTTTTAAGTCGAAAGATTTTGAGAGAGGAGGGAAAAAACTCGAGGCAGTTTTTTTAAAAATTTAGAACAAAATTTTTTAATCAACGCTGCGTTGAAGAAAATGGCGGCGGCCTTCGTTGGGTGGTGGCTGCAGGGGCCGCGGGAAACCCCGCAGCTCGGGCGGTGACGTCACCAAGCCTGGCTCTTGCGTCAGTGGCCTGAGTGGAGTTGGCAATTTTTGGATTATTAATGAGCTTTATTTAAATTTTGATAAATTTAAACATTTTAAAAAATTGAATCCCGTATCTAGTGATTTTGTAGAAGCGGGGGAGGGGGGGTCTCCCCACCCCCCCGCACCCCAATAATAGCCGTGGGATATTTCCAGCTTTTAAGATTTTTTTGTTAGGTGGCATTTTCTCCACAATTTGCGTGGTGGTTGGTGGCAAGTTGGACATTAAACCACCGTTTCAATTTATACGGCGCGTTAAAAGTGAACTATGGTAGCATCGTTAAGCCATTTGGTGGGGGGGGGGGGAGAAATGTGGCAGTAAGTTGGACAGTGCTTTATTAACATAAGTTCCTTTAGCGATATGAGGGTGCCCCACAGCCCTTGCCATGGAGTTTCCAAGGCTTTCGTGCGCAGTGTTGCGTTCAATGTTTGGCTGTACTGCGTGTTTTAGATAAACGTATGCCGGGCATATGCCACCTATATTGTTTGTACTGTATTGTCATCTAGCAGTGGAGTGTTAGCTTGGCCTAAAAAATTAAAGATTGTACGTAACTTGGGAATTTGTAAAACCGGGGGAAGCGTTTTTTAGCTACATTTGCGCGTGGGAAGAGACTCCAACCCCCACCCAAACCGATCTTTGTCGAGGAACTTGGAAGAGTGGCGGAGGCCGTGCCTGCCACAACAGGTTCCCGTCCATGAGATGGCGAAGGTCATCCGTTGTGGCAAGCCATCGCCAAAGTAATTTTAGCGACCGGTAGGGGGTGATGGGGACGGGGGGGGGGGTTTGGTGAGTTCGTAAACACGACGTGGATTGACATTGATTTGTGAAGGGAGAACGGATAATTTTACCCTCGGAAAAGGCTCACCTGGGTGAAGATTTAGAAAAGAAATTATTCTGGATGAGTCTTCGCGCAATCGGCGGTGCGTTTGGCCACGAATTCTCCCCGAGTAGTAGGCGCCGTTAGTGGTTCGCAGGCAAGCGAATCCACGTTAGGGTGACTGCGTGTGTGTGCTATTGTGTTGCGATTTCTTTAATAAATATTCTCATTTTTACGCTCAAAATGAGCGCCCTTAGGCGTACAAAGCTTTAAGCCTCTCTCTTCCCCCCCCAGAGAGATCTGCGTGTTGGAGGTAAGAGAGATTGGGTCATGAACAACAACGTTTTATATAGCCTATGACAGCGACACGACTTTGTGATTCATCTGGACCACCTAGCGGTCTCGGCAGTGTAGTTTTCGTTATGATGGGGGTGGGGGCGTCTTAAAGCTTGAGTATTGAGTTCGTGTCGACAACATTCCAGCTTCCAACAAACTCAATCCCAGGCAAGGATGGATGTTTAAGACAGTACTGTAAGAGTATAGTGGACCCAGCCGAGAGTCTTGGAACTTAACGACTTATAGTTGTCCACACTCCAGCTTATAAAGACGCCCTGTATTTCACAAGTGGTTCTCTTAAGTGGGTTTATTTTGCACAAGGCACCACATTTACAGTATAGACCCAGCTTAAGTTATAATTGCCAGTCCAGCTCGTATAGGAGTCGACCCAGTTTGTCTTAAAGTATGACCTTTCTGTGTAGATACTGGGTTTATTCATGGCCAACCCTCCAAGCTACACACTAGGCCCAACTTTAGTATTATGCTTACCGATTGAAGCTTGGGCTATGTGTCGACTCGTTTACAATGTCAAACTTTTCGGACAATGGGTTAGACCCAGGCCATTTTGTGGCATTTGGTTGTTTTTAGGAAACTTAAAATCCCTTAAGAGTATCAACCAAGTGTTAAGTATTTAACACTTGTTCTATATGCACACCGGTTTATAATACTTGGCACTCGGTGACGATATACACCGGTTCATCGTCACCGACACTTAAGCCGAAAGTAGACCGGGCCTTAATAGGTCTTAAGCATGGCCTTCGGGGTCGATAGACCGGTTTATAATAGCCACTAACCCCAGTTAGACCCATTCTCGTGTTAGAGGCAGTCTCGTGTTAAGAGTTGTGTTGTAACTAGCCAAGGTGTTTACTCGCACAATCATTTTGTCAATTGGCCAACTTTCAGACATTTCAAACCACCGTTTTGAGAAGCCAGCTTTGTGTTGTCCTCGTGGGCTTGAGTTGTGTTTTAAAGCTCCATCCTAGGATGTGTACGCCTTTGATAAGGGGACCGTGTTCCGAGTCGTAGGTCGAGACATCAAAACTATAGTTTGACCCGGGTATGGCTTCCCACTGAGCTGTATGGCTCGTTTTCAGTAGTGGCCTGGCCAAAAATGATGGCCAAGTGGCGTTATGTGGGAATGTATAGGCAGCAGCAGCGTATACGAACCGGTCTTAACCTGCGTTGGGGGACACGATTGCATGTTCACTTTCACCATACCCCGATCATATATATATACGTTACTTAACATTTAATTATTGCACAGCGCTTTATAAAAGCTCCAGGAGATTCGGCGAGATGAGTCGTGTATTATAAGCTGGATGTTGAAAGTGTGTGTGTGTATTAGGGGCTTGTATTTGTTTCTGGCTTGGCATAGTAACACTGCTGCGTTGTGGTTGCATGACTATCGTTTACGTATGTACCTGTTTGTGTCATCCTGTTGTATTGTAAATGCTTGTGTTTGTATCAACAATCAGACTGTAGTTGTTTGGTATCGGTATTTTATATGACTACGGAGCTACCTGTTTTAGCTGTGTCACTCCACTGCTGGATTGATCGTGGGGCATATAAGCGCAGTCCAACAACGCAAATGCTGAAATTGCCCTCTCGCTGTACACCAACGTGTAGCCCTTAGTAAGTACAGCGGCGGTGACGTTGAATCGAACGCGCATTTTTGGGATGCGTTTACAAATGATCGATATTTAATGGGTCGGTATTATTGACTCGTGCGTTTGATACGTCTTCGACGCGCTTTTTTTTCGTATTTTTGTTTCCGAGATTAATCTTGCCTCGACAGGATTTAGGTATGAAAAGTTGTGCGCATTGGATGGAAGACCACCAAAAGCCATGCATAACCAGGTGCTGAAGGCTGCTTCGGAAAGGGTGGAACAGCAGAGAGCCCAGAAGTGCAGCACTAGCCCGTTGTACCGTACCGCGCTATGCTCCCGCCCGCCTTCAACGACCCCCTCGGAGGCACCACACCCCCCCCGTGTCTTCTGCATCCAGCAGTGGATTGGCAAGGCTTGTTCATGTATGTTACATCATTATTGTTGTTGGTTTAAAGTGCTGTAAATTAACGTAGGTTAAATGTTTGTAGCGTAACGCTAAACGCGCAGAGCGGCGCGTTGGCGCGCGTTAAACAAAAAAAACCACATCGACTTTAATTCACACCGCGCTTATTTAAACGTAATGTGTGCACACCACGGCGTTTTAGACGTTTGCTCAATCACCGTGTACTAAGTATACTACGGACGCATATATATCTTATTTTTAAAATTGAAATTCGGTTGGCCGTGCAGTTGACGAGTCGCTGGTATTGCCATCGGAGGCAACAATGATTGCTGTTGCCGCTCCCCGCAATGCAGCAAAGCCCACGTTGACGGGAGTGGTGAAGTATGGTCATTTTGCCTTCCCGCCACGGTTGGGTCTCGGTGCGGGTTGGTGCCAAAGGCGGGGGAGCATAGAAGTGCAGTGCAATAATTTGATTTCGCTGCTTCTGCCCTCTGCTGCGATCAGCAGCTGCTGGTCACTGCGTGTTGTGGCGAGAACCAGTTCGATTTGATAGTAGGTTCTGTATGTCATTACACACGTGTGTGTGTGTGCGTGTTTACTGTGGGGAGCGGTGGTGCAGCGGTTAGCGCTACGCTGCGTTACGAACCCCGGCGGCCCGAGTTCGATTCCCGCTCACGGCCACCAGCGCCGGTGACGATTATCTGAACCGGTCCCTGGGCCTCCCCCTAGGTCGACTCGGCCTCAAACGAGTACCCTGTGCGGTGTGTAAACATCGCCACTGGGGGGGAGGGGGGTGGTGGGCAGGGAGACAAAGGCGGCCGGGCGTGATGCTGGTCACCCACCACCTCGTGTGCCTTCGTAGGTACTGCTCGCTAACAGCACTTGCCCCAACAGTCTGTTAAGGCTACACGGAGGATCTTTGTCCTGCTCGCTAACAGCACTTGCCCCAACAGTCTGTTAAGGCTACACGGGGGATCTTAGTCGTGCTCGTTAACAGCACTTGCCCCAACAGTCTGTTAGGGCTACACGGGGGATCTTTGTTTTTGTTGACTAGCTTTGGTCTGTGCGCTGTGGGTGAATGTGGTGGGTGGGGGGGTCATAGATTACGTTGATGGCCAAACCACGGTTACTGTTCACCAAGAGTTGTACTTCACTGCCCTCTGGCGATTGCTCAGAGAATTGATACGAAATTTGGAATGTTGCAACTTCCGGTAACCGTCCTATTGAATCGAGGTTTCATCACGTACATTATTATCGGTACGTTTATAATCGGCTCCATCTGACGATTGTAGTATAATGTAGGTTACGTTTGAATTAGAACGTGCATAATATTAAACCGGAGTACTTTACAGTACTTGGGTTTGCACGTTAATTAGAACAGCGTATTCTTAAATCATACCGTGCCAAGCCATCACGGTTTACCCCGTATTCTTCTTGCAAAGGGACATTGAGATTTCTGGTCCATACGGCGTACAGCCGTTTCAATACGGGCAAAACACTTTTCTCCTGCAGT